ATAGCAGTGATAAAAAAGTAACATAGTGTCTTTGAGATATCCATGTGAAAATGTCCAGTATGCAGTTCAATATGTAAATATGGGATTCAGAAGAGAAACTTGAAGTATAAATATAATAATGATATCTAGGCTCTATTCGAATCATGTTCATGTGAGAATACATTTAGTACTCACAGGTCATTGAGGTTAATTATTATTTCTGTTTTTTATATGAGGTAACCAGGGTATATTGAAGTTCAATAACTTGCCTCAGATCACAGTGGTAGCTCTGATTGAAATGCATGCAGTCTGGCCTCAGAGTTGGGGTCATGTCTTACAAATAGATCGGTGAATTCTTATCTGGTAGATGACAATTGAAGCTATTTGAACAGTGCCTATTGAATTTAGCAACATGGAGCACATTGACCACAATGCAAGAGATACGTTGGCAGAGTGATGGGGCAGGAGGCAGATGATGAGTGAATGAGAAATGAGAAAATGGAGACTGCAAACAGACAACTCTTCTGCAAAGTATGACTGTAAAGGGGGAAAGAAAGATAGCAGGCACCGCCTCTGTGGAAGAATGAGGACCGAGAAAAGTAGTTTTTAAATGGAAATCTTGAGGATTTAAAAACTGTTGGGAAGTTCTAATGGAGAGGAAAAATCTGCAAACGTCAGACAGAATTGTTGTTGTTAAGTGTCATTGAGTTGCTTCCAACTCATAGTGACTCTGCACAGGGTTTCTGTGGAGCGGCTGGTGGGTTTGAACCACCGGCCTTATGGTCATCAGTCCAGTGCTGATTCTCCAGCACCACACCAGGACTGAGACAGAATAATTGTTCCCATTTAAGAATTCTGAGAAGGAAGGGAGGGGAGACACCCTTCATATTGGGAATGTATTGCTATCACATAGTAAAAAGCCATTGTATTGAAATGGATGCTGGTAGAGGTAAGCAAGCTGGTATTTTTAGCATCAGGAAGATGAAGACATTTCTTCTCCCATGAGGGTAGGAGTCAAGAAGACCCTCTGAGAGTGGGCCAGGTGATGGGAGTGGAGATGAAGTTAGTGATAGCAGCATTGGAGCTTTAGAAGTTTGAGGAGAGTTGACAAGGTTTGAAGTAATCACACTGGAGAATGAGGACAATAAGCTACTCAGGAGAACTTAGTAGTAAGTACATTTGTTAGGTTCAAGAGACTAAAGAATTCTCATGATTTGCTAATATTATCTTAAATTGTTTAGAAATGATTTCCTGTATTTTAGACTTCTCCATTTAGTATGATGTTGCTTATTAGTTCAGTTGTGAGAATTTTTGTTTCCTTAAGGTTGAGGTGTAACCCATACATAGGTTGGATTGTTTGATCTTCATCTGTAAGTCTTTCAAGTCCTCTTTGCTGTTAGCAAGCAAGGTTGTGCTATCTGCATATCACAGGTTATTAATGACTCTTTTCCAATCCTGGTACTTTGTTTTTATTCATATAGTCCAGTTTCTCCAATTATTTACTCAGCATACAGATTGAATCAGAATGGTGAAAGAATACAACTCTGGCATATGCCTTCCCTGATTTTAAATTGCACAATATCCTTATGTTTTGTTTGAACGACTTTCTCTTGGTCTATATATGGGTTCCTCCTGAACACAGTCAAGCATTCTAGAATTTCCATTTACCACAATGTTATCCATCATTGGTTATGATCCATACAATTGAGTATCTTTGCATAATTAATGATTATGGCATCTTTCTGATATTCTCTGTTTTCAACCAAGATCCATCAGGAGCTTTGGTAGCATAGTGGTTACAAGATGGGCTGCTAATCTCATGGTCAGTAGCTTGAAACTACCAGTGGTTCCGTGGGAGAGAGATGAGGCTTTCTTCTCCTGTAAAGATTTACAGCCTCAAGCCTATACAGGATTGCTATGAGTTGGAACCAACTCCACGGCACATGACCACCACCACTGCCATCTAACATCAGTAGTGATATCCCTTGTTCTTCATCTTCTGAATGAGGTTTGAATGTCTTGCAGCTCCCTGTTAATGCATTGCGTCAATGTTTTACTTGTGTGTGATATTAGTGGTACTTTTGGATAATTTCCACATTCTATTGGATGACCTTTCTTTGGAACAGGCACATACGTGGATCTTTTCCAGTCAGTTGTCCAGGTAGCTGTCTTCCAAATTTCTTGACATAGATAAATGAGTGCTTCCAGGGCTGGATCCATTTTTGAAACATTATAATTGATATTCTGTCAATTCTTGGAAACTGTTTTTCATCATTGCCTTCAGTGAAGCTTGTAATTCTTCCTTTAATATTATTGGGTCTTGATCATATACACCTGTAATAGTTTAATGCAGACCAACTCCTTTTGGTACACTGACTGTGTATGCCTTCCATCCTCCCATTTTATTTTGATGCTTCCTGCCATTGTTTAGTGTTCTGCTTACGTTGTAGCTTTTAAGTGCCATTGAGTTGGTTCTGACTCATAGCGACCCTACTTAGGGTTTTCAAGGAGCAGCTGGTAGGCTTGAAGCGCCAACCTTGCAGTTGGCAGAACAGTGCTTATCCTATAGTGCCACACTAGGACTTCAGTTCCCCTTTCTTGTTGTTAAGTGCTGTAGAGTCAGGTTTGGCTCATGATGACTCTGTATAGGGTTTCTCAACAGTGACTGGTATGTCTGAACTGCTGAACTTGCGATTAGAAATCCATTGCTTATCCTACAACTCCACATCAAAATGGTGGTGGTGGTGGCTATGTGCCATGGCGTCGATTCCAACTCATGGTGACCCTGCATAGGATTTCCGATGATGTAAATCTTTACGGGAGCAGAAAGCCTCATCTTTCTCCCAGAGAATGGCTGGTAGTTTCAAACTACTAACTGTGAGATTAATAGCCCGACTTGTAACCAGTATGCTACCAGATAGAATACTTAAATATAGCAACTCAAAGCTGGAATTTTTTTCTTCAGTTCTTTCGATTTCAAAAATGCCAAGAAATGCCATCTTTCTTCCCTTTTGGTTTTGTAACTCCAGGCTTGCAATTTTCACTATAATGCACCATTCTTTGCCTTTTTGAACTGTACTTTGAAATTTTCTCTTCAACTCTTCTACTTTATCGTTACCTCACCAATAAGCAACATCATGATAAATGGAGAAAATATTGAAGTTACCAAGGATTTCATTTTACTTGGATCCATTATCAGCACCTATGGAAACAGCAGTCAAGAAATCAAACTTCACATTGCATTGGGCTAATTTGTTGCAAAGACCTCTTTAAAGTGTTAAAAGCAAAGATATCACTTTGACCATCAAGGGGTTCCTGATCCAAGCATGCAAAAAGCTGGACAATGAATAAGGAAGACTGAAGAAGAGTTGATGCCTTTGAATTATGGTGTTGGTAAAGAATATTGAATGCACTATGGATTCCTGGTGTGACACTGTAGGGTAAGCACTGGCCTGCCGACTGCAAGCTTGGTGGTTCAAACCCACCAGCCACTCCTTGGTCTCTATGACTCAAAACAGATGCCATGGCACTTAGCAACAACATGGACTGCCAGCAGTATGAACAAATCTGTGCTGGAAGCACAGTCAGAATACTCTTTAGAAGTGAGGATGAGGAAACTTTGTCTCATGTATTTTGAACATCTTAGCAGGAAGGACATCATGCTTGATAATGTAGTTGTTAAGTGCCATCAAGCTGGCTCTGACTCACAGCAACCCTATATAGGGTTTCTAAGGAGTGTCTGATGAGTGTGAACCACTTACCTTGTGGTTCAAACCAGCCTTGTGGTCTAGTGCTTTATTCCACAGTGTTATACCAAGAACCCTTGATAATGTAGAGGGTCCATAAAAAAGAAGACCTTCAATGAAATGAATTTCCGCAGTGGCTGCAAGAGTGGGCTCACACATACCAACAATTGTGAAGCTAGCACCAGACCAGGCTGTTTTGTTCTGCTGTATTTAGGGTTGCTGTGAGTCACCATTGATTTTGTAGTATATGACAATAACAACAGACTTTTAATTTTTTGATTTCTTTTCAGTGTCTAGGACATTGTTGAAAAAGCATTTAAGAAATATTTTTTGATTGTCCAGAGTATTTAATTAATTAGAATACTCTAATTCTCAGAATTTCTTGATAAAAGAAGTTTATTATAACACATACTTAAGAGGTATATGAACTAGACATCTTCCCTAAATCTTGACTTTAGTAGAAGTCTATTATGGGTCGGTTATAGTCTATTTAAAAAATTTTAAGAGAAAAAACAATAGTCATTTTTCCACGATGGGTAGGAAGAAAAGCTTTCCAATCCTTTAATTTTTATATAAACTTTCACATTTTGAAGTTTATAGATCCATTGTCAATAGAATAAACATTCAAAGTAGGGTGTTAAATAATGAGAAAGCCTGATCCTTTTTGTGAAAGCAGACAGTGAAACAGACACAAGGGATAACTCTGGGCAGAGATAAGGGGACTCCTGCCAAACTCCTTCCCTGCCGGTTATAGTCCACAAATAAATGTGTGGTTGCAATTGAACTTCTCTGAGTCCTATTCCATTCCAGAGGCTGATAAAAATATGGCCATTTAGTTACAAATGAAAATCTCAGAATACATGAAACATAGCAACCAGGAGAGAGTCCCAAGGAAGTCACCCAGCAACAATCAGAAAATTAAAAACAAAGCAACCCAGTAACCAAAACACACAACCCAGACATGCTAGGGAGCCAAGCCAAGAAGGAAATACTCCAGGCAGAGTGGAGACATCTAATATCAGGTCCAATTCAGTAGTGGCATAAAACTTGTACTTACTCATATTTATTGGATGTCCATTATGTGCCAGTGCTTTGCTAGATGCTAGAGACTCTAGGCTGACTAAAACATATTCTCTGTCTTCAAAGAAATAATGATAATGTACATATTTTTAAAAAACCAGTAGTACGCTCTTGAGTCACCCCTGCGAGCCTTGTGCGAGCTATACTTGGCGCTTTCCCACTGCTGTTTGCTACTTGCAGCCCTTCCCCTTCAAGATGCCTGAGGAAGTGCACCATGGAGAGGAGGAGGTGGAGACCTTTGCCTTCCAGGCAGAGATTGCCCAATTTATGCCACTCATCATCAATACCTTCTATTCCAACAAGGAAATTTTTCTCTGGGAGTTGATCTCAAATGCTTCTGATGCCTTGGATAAGATTCACTATGAGAGCTTAACAAATCCTTCCAAGTTAGATAGTGGTAAGGAGATGAAAATTGACATCATCCCCAACCCCCAGGAGCGTACTCTTACTCTAGTGGATACCGGCATTGGCATGACCAAGGCTGATCTCAGAAATAATCTGGGAACCATTGCCAAGTCTGGCACCAAAGCACTTATGGAGGCTCTGCAGGCTGGTGCAGATACTTCTATGATTAGGCAATTTGGTGTTGGCTTTTATTCTGCCTATTTGGTGGCAGAGAAAGTGGTTGTGGTCACAAAGCATAATGATGATGAACAGTATGCGTGGGAGTCTTCTGCTGGAGGTTCCTTTACTGTTCGTGCTGACCATGGGGATTCCATTGGTCGGGGTACCAAAGTGATTCTGCACCTTAAAGAAGACCAGACAGAGTACCTAGAGGAGAGGCGAGTGAAAGAAGTGGTGAAGAAGCACTCACAGTTCATGGCTATCCCATTACCTTTTATCTGGAGAAGGAATGAGAAAAGGAAATCAGTGATGATGAGGCAGAGGAAGAGAAAGGTGAGAAAGAAGAAGAAGATAAGGATGAAGAAGAGAAGCCTAAGATTGAAGATGTGTGCTCAGATGAGGAAGATGATAGTGGTAAGGACAAGAAGAAGAAGACCAAGAAAATTAAGGAAAAATACATTGACAGTGAAGAACTGAACAAGACCAATCCCATTTGGACCAGAAATCCTGATGACATTACCCAGGAGGAATATGGGGAGTTCTATAAGAGCCTTACAAATGACTGGGAAGACCACTTGGCAGTGAAGCACTTCTCAGTAGAAGGTCAATTGGAATTCAGAGCATTGCTGTTCATTGCCCGCCGTGCTCCCTTTGACCTCTTTGAGAATAAGAAGAAAAAGAACAACATTAAACTTTATGTCTGCTGTGTGTTCATCATGGACAGCTGTGATGAGTTAATACCAGAATATCTTAACTTCATCTGAGGTGTGGTGGACTCCGAGGACCTGCTCCTCAACATTTCCTGGAAAATGCTCCAGCAGAGCAAAATCTTGAAGGTTATCTGCAAAAACATTGTGAAGAAGTGCCTTGGGCTCTTCTCTAAGTTGGCAGAAGACAAGGAGAACTGTAAGAAATTCTATGAGGCATTCTCTAAGAATTTAAAGCTTGGACTCCATGAGGACTATACTAACCGGCGACACCTTTCTGAGCTGCTGCGCTATCACACTTCACAGTCTGGAGATGAAATGACTTCTCTCTCTGAGTATGTTTCTCGCATGAAGGAAACCCAGAAGTCCATTTATTATATCACTGGTGAAAGCAAAGAGCAGGTAGCCAATTCTGCATTTGTGCAGCGAGTACGAAAGCGGGGCTTTGAGGTAGTTTATATGACTGAGCGTATTGACGAGTACTGTGTGCAGCAGCTCAAGGAATTTGATGGGAAGAGCTTGGTCTCAGTTACCAAGGAAGGCCTAGAGCTCCCAGAGGATGAAGAGGAGAAAAAGAAAATGGAAGAGAGCAAGGCCAAGTTTGAGAACCTCTGCAAGCTCATGAAAGAAATCTTGGATAAGAAGGTTGAGAAGGTAACAATCTCCAATAGATTTGTGTCTTCACCCTGTTGCATTGTGACTAGCACATATGGCTGGATGGCCAATATGGAACAGATCATGAAAACCCAAGCACTGCGAGACAACTCTACAATGGGCTACATGATGGCCAAAAAGCACCTGGAGATCAACCCAGATCACCCCATTGTGGAGACACTGAGGCAGAAGGCTGAAGCAGACAAGAATGACAAAGCTGTCAAGGACCTAGTGGTCCTGCTCTTTGAAACTCTTTGCTCTCTTCTGGCTCCTCCCTTGAGGATCCCCAGACCCACTCCAACCGCATCTACTGCATGATCAAGCTGGGTTTAGGCATTGATGAAGATGAAGTGACAGCTGAGAAACCCAGTACTGCTGTTCCTGATGAGATCCACCCCCTTGAGGGTGATAAGGATGCATCTCGCATGTAAGACGTAGATTAGTCATTTTTACCTACAAAATTTGTGTCCTCTCTAGTTACCCTGTGGTTCCCACAAAAGCCTTGAGTGGCCCTGTCCCACCTGGCTCCATCTGCTGATAAACTAGTGGTTATTTTTTCTCCTGGGCCTTGTGTGTAATGAGGCAGGATATAAGGCTCTCAGGCCCTGTTACCCCTTCCTTATTTGGGAGTGGGGTTAGATGTTGTGTATTGTGTTTTTTTGTTGTTTATTTTATTCTGAAATTAAAGTATGCAAAATAAAATGATACTGTTTTATACAGTAAAAAAACAAACAAACAAAAAAACCAGTAGTACAGTGGACTCTGGTTATGGCATGGTAGGATTAGCACTGGACTGCAAACCACAAGGTCAGCAATTCAAACCCACCAGCTGCTCCTTGGAAGCCCTATATAGGATCGCTATGAGTTGGAACTGACTCAATGGCACTTAACAAAACAAAACAGTGTTCAAGTAAATCTGTAAAGTGCCATAGGAACATAGAAGAGTTGGGGATTGGGTGTTTTGAGATGTGTTTGGGACATTCAAGTGGAGCTATTTAATTGGTAGTTAGATTTACAGATTATAGGCTGGAGCACACAGTCAGAATATATATCTGTGAGTAAATACATATGTACATAGGAAAAATTCCATTATCTTTTAATTCTAGTTTTACATGAACTTTTTGCAGCCCCCTTGTATATGTAGGAATATGTAACAGTAATAGCAAAGTCTTGGTTTTGGAGGAAGTTGTGATGAGATAATTAAAATGATAAGAGCAAAGATTGCATGCAGAGTTCTGAGAAGAATGAGCAATTAAGGAAAAATCAGCGATAAAGAATTTGGAAGTAGGTTGAGATATGCCAGGAAAGAGAAACATCAGAAATATGAGGGTAAAAAGAATTGCTAAAAAATCATGCTGTTGTTAAGTGTTGTTGAGTCGGTTCCGGCTCAGTGAGCATGTATAGGGTTTCCGAGGAGCAACTGGTGAGCTTGAATCGCCAACTTTGCAGTTCAAATGCATTAACCTGAACCTGCAGTGCCCTGCCAGGACTCCAAAATAATCATAGAAACTTTTATTACAGAAAGGCATCAAAGTGTGACGCTATTGCTTCTGAAGATGTCCTCCATCTAAGTCTGTATACTTCCAAAGGTGGTTTTTCCATTTTAGGGAGTCCTGGTGTGGCACTATAAGATAAGCACTGGACAGCTAATCACAAGATCAGCAGTTTAAACCCACAAACCACTCCTTGGAAACCCTATACAGGGTCTCTATGAGTCAGAACTGACAATGGCACTTAACAACAACAACCACAACCCTTCCCAGAAGAACTCTGCTCTCTGATATCACCAGGTCAAGTAATAGTCATAGGCATCCTTAACAGACTCAAATCGTGCTCCTTTAAAAAAAATGGGGGGGATGGGGAAGAAACTGAAGGGGGGAAAGAGTAGGGTTGTAGGATGGATGGGATAAGGTTTCCCAGCAAAATTCTCATAGGACAGCCTTTGCTACCCTTGAAAAAAGAGCAGGTGCATTGTGATGGAAACAATTCCTTGAAGCAACTTTCCTACCTTTGTTCTTACCAATGCAGCTTTTGATTTTCTTAAGCCTTCCTTATAATAAGCTCCCGTGATCATCCTGTGTCCTTAAAAAATCTATCAAGATGATCCTCATGGAATTCCAAAAAACCCTCATGGAATTGGTTACCTTCTGGGTTGGCCTTACTGCTTTGAATTTAACTGTTTTGATTGGATGTTTTTTAAGAAGGAAACCTAACTCAATTAAGACAAGTGTGGTACTGAGAGAACTTGCCTGCAACCATCCACTGATCACAGAGACATGCTTAACTACATTTTGTTAGGAATAAACCCGTGCGTGTATGAACTGGAATGCTCATAGAGAAAGAAGAGAGAATTAAGAAATTAAAACAACGACTCACAACATTCAACAGACCAGTTTATAGCAATGGGAAGAAGCCAAATTGCTATGGGTCGTGGGAGCAGAGGAGCCCTGGTGGTGCAGTGGTTAAGTACTTGACACTTTACCAAAATTTTGATGGTTGGAACTTATCAGCAGATCTACAGGAGAAAGATGTAGTTTGTGTCTGTAAAGATGGCAGCTTTGGATACCTTGTGGGACAGTTCTACTCTGTCCTCTAGGGTTGCTACAAGTTGGAACTGTTTTACAGGTAGTAGGTTTCTGGTTTTGAGGAAGGAGGGAGATTAAATGTAAATATTTTCATGGTATTGTAAAGAAAAATCTAGCAACTTTTATGGTTGAATGGCAGGCTTTGATACAGACTTGCAAGCAGCTACTCATTAATCGTTTTCGGCTTTATGAATATTTCAAGACTTTGAGCTTTCCCAGCACTTAACAACATCTGTGGTCAAACCCTGAAAATCCAGGAAAAAGAATGTGAAATGGACAGACACTTTTAAGCAGGTATCAGGTGTCAGATTCTTTATATACATGATTTAATTGCCATAAAAAGTTGTATATGAAGCTACCATTGTTAGCTTAATATTCAAAGGAATACTAAAAGTAAAGTCTAAATAGATAGCATTACCTACTAAAGATGACAATTATCACTGAAGTGATGTAACACATAAGTGACTATTATCACTATTTTTAGGTTTGATAGCCTCAGGAAGACCTTTCTTATAGGTCTTCCAGATTTTGAAAAGCCTTCCTCCACTGAATATCTGTGATCTACTTTAATACTTCTTTTAGGGTGGGTTCAAAGGATTTATACCACTTTATAATCTGCATCTCAGGAGAACCACTTACATCACAGCTACCTGCTGTCTCCAACTCAGCTCTCATTAACCTCTATTCTTTATTTTTATTCTTTCCTTTTGCTCACGTATTGGAAAGATCATTTTGTATCTACCTAAGAGTCATGTTCACCTCTATGATGATTTTCTTCCAACTGGAGAAAAAGTACTGTGGGCATTAATTTAAGTCATTCATATAATGGCCCTGTCCTCATTTTATATCAGGCTTGTTCTTACGAAAGTTCCAACTGGATCTCAGCAATTTCATGTAACTTTTGGTGACCACTTGAACTTCTTGGAAGAGGTGATAGGTACATGGACTCTTGGTGCTTTTCTTTGATTTAATGTTTTGTGATATCTGTATTTAGTTACAGATTTAAAAATTTATGTTGTTTACCTATTAGCAATGTCAGCCTATTATTTTAGCATCGAGAGGATGAATTAATTTTTTATAAAAGAAGGGTCTCAAAAAGCTATATATTTTAACTGAGGAACATACTTACGAGTTTATCTTTCAGAGTGTATGCAGTTATAGCTCTTAAAAGCTGAGTTTTTCCTTGAATAATTATCAAGGACTAGTCTCTGTAGCCCATGTATGAATAGCTCTGGAAACTTTAATCAGGTCTGTGTGTTGCTGAATAATGTACCTTATTGTACATTCAGATCTGAGATTAAAACTCACCCATTTTTAATTTCTTAAGAACCATGTGAACAAAAAAACCATTTACTTTAAATATCACAAGATGTGTATTCATGTTGACAAAAAATATTAAGATTAAAGTGGGCATTCTGCCCACTTTTTATTTTGCTGAAGGTTTCATTTAAATACTATTTTATTTTTTAGAGGCTTGGCCTCTTGGCTCAAGGCAGTATATTCTATATTATACTGTTTAATCAAACTGTTAGATTTTAAAAGTTCACCAAACACTAACAGAATGTTAACACCACCTTCATATAATTCTAGAGTAGGATAAAACAGCTTCACACTGGAAGATCATAAAACTCAAATGCTTTCTCATTATATTTGAAAAGCCTATAAAATACTTTCCATTTAATGATTAATACTACAATTCCTATACTTAAAAAATGTCTGACTTCAACTTCAATCCTTTTGTCCAAAGCCTAACCTCTGAGGTTCCATTGTGAGTACGTTTCATTCACTTACAATGAACAATCTTCAGATATTGTAGAAAAACTATAAACTATGATGCTTCTATTGTCAGCTTCATTGGAGTATTTAAATGTGTAGCACTACTTCCTAGAAACAGATAATATCCTTCTATTCCCATTTTTTCAGCCATGAGCTATAGCTTACCATGTATTAGTAATATTTGTTTACTAAAAAAAAAAATTCAATTCTGGTTTGTGATAGAAGTATACCTCAACATCAAATAATTATTTTATGTGAAATAATTCATATAATAATTGATACCCATAATTATAAGTCATAAATCTTTATGTGGAAAAAATACTACTGAATCTAGAAGGGAAGTAATGAAAGGACTGAAATAGCTGCCAAAGGTTCCAGAGTAGAGGTAGTTAAGAAATAGTTCCTTATTGACAGGTGACTGTTGGCTAGCCTCGACTTGTGTGGCCATTTTGAACTTTTGTGGGTGACTTTTGATTCAGTGGCCTGGAGGCACAAGATGTACTCTGGAGATTGGTAGCAAGGGGGTGTGATTTTCCCTCGTTCCCTATACCTTCCTGCTAGTGGGGAGCATGGCCAGTTCCTGCCCTTGCCTGCCAAGGGACCACTGGCACCCCCTCCTGCACAGCCTCGGATAGGGCATTAGGCATGACATCACAGTATCTGGAGGTATGTAAATCTTGCCTCATTAGGTCTTTTACTGTGGTATTTGTTTTGGGGAGACAGCAGTTGTCACATCTATATAGCCTTTGGCTCCACGCACTGGGCAAGTACTATGTACCACCAGATCCACATTATCGGCAGCCAACATCAGACAAACCCATTCTGGATTACATAACACAAACACTGAGCAGAGAACTGAACACACATTTTCAGTCTTTATAACATCCACAGCAGTAATGGCTCAAGTGTAGTAACAGTTGTGAGGCAGGGTTTCATTCTGTTGCTCATAGTCCGAACCAATGCAGAATAATGCTCTGGACCACAAGGTTGGTTTGAACTGCAAGGTCAGTGGTTTAAGCCCAATAGCTGCTCCTTGGAAAACCTCTATAGGGTCACTATGAGTCAGAGATGACTCCACGGCA